AATAAGCCTGAAATCAAAATGAAATGCAAAATGAAAACCTCTATGGAGGCATTATTAATTCATTTTTATTAATAAAAAAATTGCATTTCTATAGAAAGCTTCTATGCCCCGTGAACAAAGAAGAGATAACAAAGTCACAGCAGTGACAGACTTAAATTCTGGGCCCTTCTCCTGGGGACCCAGGGCAGTTCATCTAAATTGAGTTCTAGGCTGTTAGAAAACATAACTGTATGATTACTAAAAGATCATAACTAAAGTCACATAAATTTCCTTGAGCTAAAATTCACAGATACTCAACAATGTGTAATGCTGTCATTGGAATGGTTCCACAATTAACAATATTAGCATTTTCTTATCTGCTTTATAAAGGTGGACTAGAGTAAATGTACTTATTCTTTTCTCACATGTAACTCTGCTTTACTCAAATCTTCCTCTGACTATATTCAAGTCAAAATAAGAGGAATCTTCTTGCCTCTAACCCTAGGTTAATTTTCATAGTCTCTCCATCATATTATATTTTTCCTCAACCACAGCCCATGGCTTCCTAGTGATAGTCAAAATAACCAGTATCTACTGCTTCACTGAGGAGTTCTGCCTAGCCTGCCTTTCCTGTCTTAGGCCCTGGTGCATGGCCACTCAAATCCTCTGCTGTAGTTGGGCCAGTTCAAGCACAACGACCCACTAGCACACAGCATTGTTCCTCAATTTTCTCCACCTGGAATGAGCTCTCATCTTTTTCTCCATCAGTCTGAACCCTACTCTTGACTTCAGGGTCAGGGACAGTCTCATGTTCTCTCTGAAGCTGTCCCTAACCAGCCCGTCTCACAGTCGTCTATAATTCTCAGGGAATTATATTGCATTTATTGTCTTTGCCAGTCAATTAATATTTGTCATATTTCTTGTATCTTTAATTAACTACTTGAATATTTATATAGCTCTCCCCACACATATATTTAAATTTAGTAAGAAATAGAGACACTTTTTTATTATTGTTTTTGCCTTTAATTGCCATCCCTCAGTGTACTGCACATAGCAGGTGTTCAACAAATTCTTAATTTACTCAAATAAACTCAAAGAGCAACATAAGGGATTCATGCTACACATAAAACATTCCTTTCCAGAGAAAACTGCTAAGCATTGCTCTAAGTTGCCAAGAGGAATCTTATCCCCTGGGTGTCATTAAAAATAGGTACACAGGGGCACCTGGGTAGTTCAGTTGGTTAAGCGACTGCCTTCGGCTCAGGTCATGATCCTGGAGTCCCGGGATCGAGTCCCGCATCGGGCTCCCTGCTCGGCAGGGAGTCTGCTTCTCCCTCTGACCCTCCTCCCTCTCATGCTCTCTGTCTCTCATTCTCTCTCTCTCAAATAAATAAATAAAATCTTTAAAAAAAAAAAATAGGTACACACTACATTGTGCTGGATGGTATAAAGGAAAGTCATAACTCTGGAAAGGAATGACCAAGGGTGTATTGGCCCCAGTTCTCCCGTTATATTATTCTTTCGGTATTTCAATGCCTTCCAGACTATAAACATCCAAAAGAAAGAGAAAATTTAGTACCTGGGTGGGTGCGTTAGTCTCCAGTGGATGCAGGGAAGGAAGTAAATCATTAGTGACAGTGAACCCTATTTGTGGCTCTAAAGTTAGGCCTGATAAATCTGTGAAAGTTCTAACATATAAAATACAGCAATATCACTTCATATCAGGTAGTTTTCACAATACATACTTTTTACATTAGCCAGAATCTACTACCAACCCATCTCTCCATTTCATCCTTCAATTTCATCTCTCCTGTCATCAACTCTGCCTTTGGATTGGTCTGCTAGACCATGTACATTTAATGCAATTATGGATATATTGCTACTTGGTTTCTATTTGTCCCGTTTTTTGATTCTTAGTTCCTCCTTTCCTGACTTTCTTGGGGGTAGGAGGAGTTACCGAATAGTTTTCAGTATTTCATTTTAAAGCATATATTGACTTTTTAGCTATATCTGTTTGTATCATTTTGGGTGGTTATCCTACAGATTAACACCACAGTCTATTTAGACTTAATGGTATATTAATTCATGTAAAATTAACAATCTTGTGAGAGTAAAATTCCACTTAACTACTTCCTATTATTTTGCTATTGTTTTTATATATTTTACTTGTGTTATAAATGTCATGAGTCTCAGTCATCTTATGCAGAGAATAGGAGTAGAAAAAAAGAGTAATATTTTATACTTACCTACATATTTGCCATTTCTTGCTCTTTTCTTCTTCCCAGTAGATCCAATTTTCATCAGGTGTTAATTCTCTCTGGCATGAAGACCAGCCTTGAATATTTCTTAAAAGTACAGGCCTAATGAGAACTAATTCTCTGAGCTTTCGTTTATCTGAAAATGTTTCTATTTTTGCCCTCATGTTTTAAGAGTATTTTCCTTGGATATAGAATCCTAGCTCGACAGTTTTTTTATTTTTCTTTCAGTATTTTGGAGATGCCATTCTACTGTCTTCAGTCTTCCCATGTTTCTAATGAGAAGGCAGCTAACATTCATATCACCGTTCCTGTGTACACAATGTGACGGAAATCCGTGTTTGCTTCCCAACACTTTGACTATGATGTGCCCGAAGTGCAGCTCCTCTTTTTATATTTACCCTTTTTGGAAAATGCTGAGCTTCCTGGATCTGACAGATGATGTTTTTCACTTAATTTGAGCCATTGTTTCTTCAAATATTTTTCTTCCCCATTCTGTTTCCTTTTTTTTCTGAAATTCAAACTAGTCATATGTTACATCACTCGATATCATCCCATAGGCCACTGGAGCTATGTTAATTCTTTCTCCAGTCTTGGTTTTCCTTCTCTTCTTCAGATGAGATCATCTTTATTGACCTATCTTTTAGTTACTGCCTCTCTTCTGCTTCCTCCAATCTGCTGTTAAGCCCATTCTGTGAATTTTTATCATTTCAGAAACTGTACTTTTCAATTCTAAAATTTCTAGTTTTTTATAGATTTTCATTCTTTAGTATTACAGGAGGTCCTCAAAAAAAAAAAAAAATAATAACCACTAATTGACTCATGAGTTGGACCCAAGCAGTCAGAGGCTCCTCACTCCCTTCCCTGTCCTTGAAAGGTACATTCCACCCACTGTTCCCACTCTAGGAGCCATTGCAAGGACACAGACTTGCAAGAGGAATGTGTTGTTGAAACTATCTGGACTGAATATGATACCCCACTGAGGCTTCTATATAAACTTTAGATTCTGGTGGGTGAGTATGGAGATCTACTCATCTTGCAGATGCCCAAGACAAGCCTCATATGTAAGTTCCTTTGCTTATTAAAACTACCATCTACCAACCTGGAGTGGTTTATTTGGTCTCTGCTTGCCTTATGTGTATGGGGGCCAGTTTTGAATTTCACTCTGGGAACTCCCTAGGTTGTGAACCAACATTTACTGAGATTTCTCATCTGTTCACTCTTTATATCTATTGTTCCCCTTAGGTCATTTAACATATTTACAAAATCAAGCTTAAAGTCTTTGTATGCTAATTTTTACATCTGATTCATTTGCTTTTTTGTCTTGATTATGGGCCACGTTCTTTTTTTTTCTTTTTTGCATGTCTAAAAATTTGGGTTGTATTTTAGATACTGTGTTTCATTGTAGAAATGCTGGGATCTATTATTTTCCCCAGAAAGTGTTGGGTTTTGTTCTGGAAGGAAGTTAAATCACTGGATGATTATTTAGAATCTGTGGAGGCTTACTGTTATGTTTTGCAGGGGTGGGTGGGTGGAAAATCCATGAGGTTTACCAAGTTCCCTAATTTGAAAGGACTCAAACTCTGAACTCTGTCTTCTCTGCTTTGAGAAGTATCTAAAATTTCTATCCATTTGCCATCCTTTCAGCTCTTACTTTCGGATGGACTTCTTGGCATCTCCCCCATGCATACATGGTTCAGAAGTCAGCCAAGGACTTGAAGAGAGTTCATCTTCATATTTTTAGTCTTCCTCACTATAAATTCCTCCTTTGCAGGAGGTTCTTCTAAATTTTCAGTCACTCTGGCATTCTCAAACTCCATCCTCTCATTTCTCAAACCAGTAGAATTCTGGCTTTCAGTTTAAGTGTAGATATTCTATATCATGCAGATGGCATGTGACTTGTGTTTAAAAAAATTATATAAATGTGAGTTTCTCCCAGTGTGTATGAGTGTTTTCTTTTAAGAGTTAAATTTTCTCTAAGTTCTGCCTGCTTGTGGCCATTTTTCAATGCCTTCAAGTTATATATACACAAACACATGTATGCATACACACACGTGTATGTATTATAATTGTTATCTGTGGAAGGGTCAGTCCAGTTCTCTACAGTTACTGGGATTAGAATTCCATCCTTGGTCTTGATTTTCAAGTCATCACTCTGAACTACAGAAACAGCCTGTAGTTCCCAAGGGCCTTTAACTCTTCTTTGACTCACAATTTTGCTCTGTTAAAATATATTCTCCCTGCAGCAGCCAGAGTTATTTTATTAGAAACCCAGTATTAACCATGCCACTCTCCTTAACATCTTTATATGGCTTCTCATTATACCTAGAATCAATCCAGAATTCTAAATATGGCCTCTAACAACTTACACAATCTGCCCCCTGTCAATCACTTCTGCTCCAACCTACCTCTATTTGCCCATTGGGTTTTGGTAACACCTCAAATCTTTAAAGTTATCAAACAATATACCTGTTCAAGGACCCGAATTAACCTTCGGGTTCTCATCTATATGTCACTTCCACAAAGATGGTGGGGCTGATTCCACAGATTGTGTTAGTCAGGTACAACATTTTTGTTTGTTTGTTTTTTTGGTTGGTTTTTTTTTTAACATATAATGTATTATTTATTTCAGGGGTACAGGCCTGTGATTCATCAGTCTTACACAATTCACAGTGCTCACCATAGTACATTCCCTCCCCAGTGTCCATCACCCAACCACCCTATCCCTCCCACCCTCCTCCCCTCCAGCAACCCTCAGTTTGTTTCCTGAGATTAAGAGTCTCTTATGGTTTGTCTCTCTCTCTGGTTTTGTCTTGTTTCATTTTTCCCTCCCTTCCCCTATGATCCTCTGCCTTGTTTCTCAAATTCCACATATGAGTGAGGTTATACGATAATTCTCTTTCTCTGGTGTTAGGAAAATTGGACAGCCACACGCAGAAGAATGAAACTGGACCATTTCCTTACACCACACACAAAGATAGACTCAAAATGGATGAAAGACCTAAATGTGAGACAGGAATCCAACAAAATCCTTGAGGAGAACACAGGCAGCAACCTCTTCAATCTCCCCTGCAGCAACTTCTAACTAGACGCATCACCAAAAGCAAGGGAAGCAAGGGCAAAAATGAACTATTGGGACATCATCAAGATAAAAAGCTTTTGCATATCAAGTACTACATTATAAATGATGAAACCCAAATACCCTTCTACTTCTGGGCTTGGAGAAAACTGGCAATCCAGTTTCAATAATCCATAACTCAAAAGCAGGAGATTGGGGGATTTCTTTCTTGGGGTGACATCCCTAGAGGAAAGCCCTAACAGATCCCTTATGACTACTGCTCTGCAGTGAAACTACCTGGCTGGATTAGGCTACAGAGAAGCCCACCAGGCCATAGTCCAGTCCACATACATGCAGAGAGGGCTTCCTGTCACCTACTTGGGTCTCACTCTGAAATGTGAGCAGACAGTCAGGGACCACCAGACTGTTGAGGGAAGGGCCCAGGATGAAGGACAGAGAACAGCAACACATCCTGCAAAAAGGAACTTTCAGGAAACAGAAATTTTAGATTAAAAAAACTTTAAAAAAAAAATCTATCATTAATGCCCTCACAGAACTAAGCTTTACTTCTATAAAAGGACAAAACAGGAAATTTTAACTGAGGCACCAGCTCCCTTACACTGAATTAAGGTAATAAGTTGCTTGTTCCTTTGATCAAAAATTTCTTAGTTGAGGCAATATTTAGGTTATATGCATCATAACTTAGAGTTAAGTTTGAGAAAGTATATGTTTTAGACATGCAAGGTACATTAAAAATAAGCCTGGCTTAAGAAGCTAATAAAAGTATATCAATTTTCTACCTGGAGGTCACTATTTTGAAGATAGCTTGTTTTCAATCTAAGTAGTTGCCAATATTCTCAGTTATAAATTTTACATTTTAGATCATTCAACACAAAACTAACAGGCCTCAGGAAAAAAGTGAAACATTTTCCATTCCAATTATTTCTAAAAGGCAAGACTGTTAGCATCACAACTGAGATTTTTCAGGTATCTCGGGATATAGCACACATCTGGGTAATGGGAAAGATCTAGATTTCCTGATCACCCTAACTAATTTTCATTTATTCATTTATTCAACAAATATTTATTGTGCTGCTACTGTATGGTAAGCATATGCACACACTAGAAATCCAAAATTGCGTAAGATAAATATGGTCTCTGTCCTCATGGAGTCTGCAGTGGAGTGGATTTCTCAGCAATATCTAGATCTACCTATCCCATGTGCCATTTGTAAATTTTAAAAAAGTAGATAATCAGGTGGCCTCTGGATGAAGACCTAAGAGGATTTCCTATAAAATAAAGCATTAGGGCTTTATGGTGTGAAGTTAAACACTGAGATTCTTATTTTATTTTCTCTTTGGACTGTTTTTATTTTATAGCACTATTTTTTTGTAAGAAGCTGTTACCTTTGTCACATTCATAAATAAAAAACTTACTTCCCTTAACCATATTTTCAATGAGCATGTTTCTGTTGATTTTCAGTTACTCCACATTGGGCGCGTCCTTTTCCCAAGGCAGAAACAGAAACAGGGCGTAGATGGGCTGAAGCAGCGTGCTGTCAGGACAGTAGCATGTAACAGCTAGGTGGTTTGGAAACAGCAGCTTCCTTGAGCTTCCTAGGCTAAGTCAAAATAATGAGTCAATGAGACATTTGGTGAGAAGTTTCTTGGCCCTGATCTTATTTTAGTCAGGCCTAAAATACACCTCATTCTAATTCTGTCTTCCCAAACAAACAGTACAATGTTAAAATAACAAAGAGAAAATACTGGCAACTTATGAAATCTTTAGTAGCAAAATGGAATGTAGCAACTAAGTTAAACAAGGCTCTATGTTACCTAATGCTCTTCATAAACTCCCCCTGAGGGGTACTCAGCCATTAGCAGCCTCCAGAGGATACTCACTTGCCAAAGAACTGTGTGAGAGGCCAAGAGCCCTGGAATCAGACCAACTCCTGACTTCCTCTGACGATGGGCACTTCCCAGGCCTCGCTCTCTCCCCAATCAAATACTGGGGATACCCTTTCTTCTCAGCCTCTGAATTTCACAATTCTTAAAAATTATGTCTTACCTTGTTCACTTTTTCACCTTATTTTACCTTTTATTGTTTCAGATCCCCTTCATTTCTCTTTATTTTTCTCTTGTTTCAGGATGTCCTGGACCAAAGTTTTGTGGTTTTTTTCACGTGGAACCTGCTGGGAGTAAAATCAACAAGGATCTCTCATCTATACTTAATTTTCCTCACAGCAGGTGCTGTGATACAGCAAAAATTCTAGACAGAAATGTGGTAAGGCTTTTGTTGCTGCTGCCATGCTAGTTACCCAAAAATCAATAAATGATTAGAGCACCTAACAGAGTGGATGATTCCAGTAGCATTAAAATGATGATGGAGGAAATCACTTAAAATGCATACATGTACTTGTTCTTTGGCTGTCAAGATTTCAAGCTTAACATGCATAGTAGCTAACCAGTTTCTGAATATTGTTTAAAAGAGTTTAAAGGTTGATTTGTTGTTGTTGTTGTTGTTCCATGTTTGCAAAGAGAAAAAACAATTTAGAATTTGTGGCAATCAATATAGTCAGGTAAAAATAAAGAAATTCAGCAAGAGTTCATTTGTCCAGTATCTGTTCATGTAAATAAATGTTCTGGAGAGCTAATGTTTACTCTTTCTAGCATCAAAACTTTAAAATTTATAATCACTTCAACTTCAACAAAAGCTTTCAAAATTCCTATACACAATTCCTTCCTTCTTGGAATTTGAATATTCAATAGAATTTCATATTTTTCTTGATGCAAGAATTGCAGTTACTCATTTGCTCTTGCTCTAAATATGCCTTTGGTTGTAACTGGTTTTTACAACTTCTCCATCTTTCCACACCTGGCAGAAAATGCCACAATCTCACAAAATGAATATGGCTCAAATTTTCATGTCCACATTCAGGCACTCAACACTGATCATCAGCTCTTCTCTTGTTCATCTTCCTGTCCTCCAGGCAAAATCTAAACTTTTACCCATGACCTCAAGCTTCCAATTCCACTACTCACTCTCACCTCCTTTAGTCTTCCTATTACATTGAGAAAATTGAACCACACATCAGTCAAGGTCTTGTCCCTGTTTAATTCATATTTCAACCTCAGCTTCCCTTCCTCAGGGCATGAATGGGCCCTCTTCCTTCAACCTCTGTTCTCTGTCCTGGTGTGCTCAGGATTTCTGTTAACTATTTCCCCTGACTCTTCCATTTAAATCTGTTTTTGATATTGACTTAGAAACATACTTAAGTTGGGGCGCCTGGGTGGCTCAGTTGGTTAAGCAACTGCCTTCGGCTCAGGTCATGATCCTGGAGTCCCAGGATCGAGTCCCGCATCGGGCTCCCTGCTCGGCAGGGAGTCTGCTTCTCCCTCTGACCCTCCTCCCTCTCATGCTCTCTGTATCTCATTCTCTCTGTCTCAAATAAATAAATAAAATCTTTAAAAAAAAAAGAAACATACTTAAGCCTATCCCATCTTAATGAAGAATGAAACAAAGCAAAACAAAAACTCCCATTGATGCTGTACCAAAGTTCAAATTCTATTGTTTTTCATACTGATTCTCACTCATGATGGCTTGTTGCTTAGGTGTTTTATAATTCTGAATTTTGAGCTTACGTAATCTAAATCTATGGAAATAATGATGGGATCGGAGTTAAATGTGGACTTTTCTGGAGAGAAATTTTATGTGCTTCTGCCAGATACCCATGGCCACATTATTCTAATTTCTAGGATTGGGATTATATACATCTGAATAACAATTCCACAGGAGGTCAGTGTTATATTTAGGAATCCTTAAGAAATTCTTTCTTTTTGCCCTACCCAGAACCAGAACCAAGGATGAACAAGTGACCTGGTCATGTATCTTTGTTGATAGGAAGATTTTCTTTTCTAACTTAACATTTTACTGAAAAAATATCCTTTTGAAGGAACTGACTATTGGAATCACTTTGCACAGGTACAAGGTATTATTGAGCCATGAAAACACAGGCCTGTTTGTATCAGAAAAGACCTTCATGCAGCCACAAACCCAGTGTTGGGTTACCACATCAGATTTCTGCTTTTTCTTTATTTTTGGACAATGAGGAATTCCCTTATAAATTTTAAAAAGTTTTGGCATTATGTCCAGCACATTTTGTAGTAGGAGATCTAGCCCTCCATAGTGCTAGAAGCAAAAATTCTCAGATTTCTCTAGCAGTAAGACTGAAGCCCTATCTGTCAAGGTAATGTCAGACTGAATCATTATGATTACAGGGAGCTCCAAAATACAAAGTCTTCTAGACCTACAAAACAAAACATTTATTACTTATTTTGTTAGAGAGAAAAAAATAGTCCAAATTTCCTCACCTTTATATTAACTAAACAGATAAAAACAAAAATAGACCTTGTACAACCAACTATGGGAATTATATTGAACACGATTTCCATTTCAAAGAGATGAAGGAAATTTAGCCTTAAAAATTTAGGCAAAATGCCTAAGGTCACACAACCATTAAGAAATAAATCTAGGGATGTCTGGGTGGCTCAGTCAGTTAGGCATCTGACTCTTGGTTTCAGCTCAGGTCATGATCTCATGGGTTGTGGGATGGAGCCCTGGGTCAGGCTCCACACTCAGCAGGGAGTCTGCTTGAAGATTCTCTCCCTCTGTTCCTCCCCCACTCATATGCGTGTTCTCTCTCCCTTCCTCTATAAAATAAATAAAGAAATCTTTTAAAAAAAAAAAAAAGAAATCTAGTATGCAAACACAGAGCTCTCTTTTTTAAAAACCCACAGTAAACAACAGATTATATCCTCCAAAACTTCTAACAATGTAGTTATTGAGTAGATACTATAAAATGACCATATTTAAAATAAAATAAAGATATATGAAAGGAATGTGAGACATACTAAGAGAAGACTATAGAAAGGGACAGGCAAATTTTAAAAGAATAAAATAGAACTTATATAAATGAAAAACCTAGTAATTGTGCCTGATTTTCATTTTCAGTAATTGTAGCAAAGTAAATCAGATCAACCCGAATGCTAAGAAAAACTATTAAAGCTGGCAAGATATTTTTTTAAATCTGCTTGAATCCATTTGAGGGTTAAAGAAGCAGGGATAAATAAAAAGACATAGATCTAGGGGAAGAAAGAAAGAAGACAGAAGAGGTCTGCATCTGGGGTCACTTTTTCTTAATGTACATGCTTATACCAGAAGCATCTGAAAGAATTACATGTACATGCTTATATCAGAGGCATCAGAGAATCAGGAACTTAGTAGGATTTTGAACAGATTCATGGTGCCAAGGGAACAAAAACTGGAGTCCACTGCCTGCCCAAGACAAGGGTTATGACAAACATCTTGGACTTGAGTTTGGGATCATTAATTAAGAAATACACCCTAGGAATGAGGGTTTATCATTACAAGACAGACTTTTTATAAGAACTGAAGCCCAGATAAGAATCATCTCAAATTGTGATTGAATTAAGATGATCTGAAATTTGTAGCCATTTACCAAAAGAAAATATGAATCCTCTCTGATGGGAAATAACATCATCATACCCCTAAATTAGTTATATTACTTTGCATTAAATATGCCATTCACATTTAAAAATAAACAAGATATAGGGAGACAAGACAACATGATCACAACCAAGGGAGAAACAGATAACAGAAACAGACAAACAGGAAATCCAAATAATAGAACTATTGGAAACAGATTTTAATATTTTTAAGGAATTAAAAGATAAAATTGTTAATATTGGCAGACAAGTATAAATTATAAAAAGGAATCAAATGAAAATTCTAAATATGAAGAAAATGTAATGACTGAATATTAATAACTCAATATATGGGCTTACAGTAAATTAGTCGCAGATGAAAAAAGAATAAGTCACCTGGAAAATAGGTTGGAAGAAAATGTACAGAATTAGGTAGAGAAATAAAAGGAAGGAAAAATAGACAAAATTACATAGAAGAGTCATAGGTGATACAGTGAAAGTTTGAACAGATGTGTAATTCAAGTCTCAGAAGAAGAGGAGAGAAAAATGGGGCAGAAAATAGTTGAAGAGAGTATGGCTGTGGATTTTTTAAAACTTGCAAAAGAGATCAAGCCATAGATTCAGGTAGCATTAGAAAATGCAAAAATGAGGAGTACTTACGTAGCTCAGTCTCTAAAGTGGCAGACTCTTGATTTCGGCTCAGATCATGATCTCAGGGTCCTGGGATTGAGCTCCACATCTGGCTCCGCACTCAATGCAGAATCTGCTTGAGATTCTCTCTTTCCCTCTCCCTCTGCCCCTCCCCCTGCTTGCTCATGTTCTCGCTCTCTAAAATAAATAAATAAAACCTTTTTCTTTTAAAGATTTTATTTATTTGTCAGAGAGAGAGAACAAGAGAGAGCACAAGCAGGGGGAGCGGCAGGCAGAGGGAGAAGCAGGCTCCCCACTGAGCAGGGAGTCCTATCTGGGACTTGATCCCAGAACCCTGGGATCATGACCTGAGCCAAAGGCAGACGCTTAACTGACTGAGCCACCCAGGCGCCCTATAAATAAAGTCTTTTTTTAAAAAATGAAAAAAATAAAGAAAACCCAAAAACGATAAATACAAAGAAAGCTACATGTAAGCACATCATAGTGAAATCAATGAAAAACGAAGAAAAATAACAAAATCATAAAATTGGTTATAAGAAAAGCAAAGAGACTAGCTTGATGGGATCCATAATATGACTCATTATTGACTTTTTGATAAAAATAATAGAAGACAGAAGACAATAAATTGTATTTTCAAAGTGCCAAAAGAAAATAACTGACAACTTAAAATTCTATAATCAATAAAAATGTCTTTGCGGAATTAGGATATTCGCAGACTAAAACAAGAGAATCAGTTGTCAGTAGACCCCCTGATGTTCTCAGTAAATTCCACTAACAGAAATATTAAAGGAATAACAGTTACCTCTAGGTAGGAAGAAGGTCATAGTGATTGGGATAGGGGGTTTCTGGGTGCTGACAAAATTCTACTTATTGACCTAGGTGGTGGTTACAGAGTATGTTTGGTATGTTTATTTTGTAATGATTCATTGAGATTTATCCTTACAAGGTGTGCACTTTACATAGATGAGTTAAACAGAAAGGATTAATCAACTTGATATAGATTTAAGCAAACTACCCGGAGAACAGCATAAGGAAA